TTCTTTGCGTCGCGCGCGACATTGGGAGGGTCAGGGAACGCCGACTTCGGCAGTGTTCTCTTGCACGCGCCGCTGCACTGATATCCCACGCAACTGCGCGCTGTGAACCCGAGTTTCTCGCAGCCTCTGCACACCACTTTGGTTCCTTTTCCGCCTCGCCCCCCATCTTTCTCTCCCCGCCCGATTGGTCATCGTGTGCATGCCTTGCACTTCAGGGTGCCCTTCTTTGCGTCGCGCGCGACATTGGGAGGGTCAGGGGACGCCGACTTCGGCAGTTTTCTCTTGCACGCGCCGCTGCTCTGATATCCCACGCAACTGCGCGCTGTGAACCCGAGTTTCTCGCAGCCTCTGCACACCACTTTGGTTCCTTTCGCCTTTCGATGATCTTCCACTTGTCCCTGCTTCAAATGCGTCGTGTCCGAGAACGCTCCTCCGCGCGCCGCGCGCGTCAGCGGCTTCGCGTCCGCCCCGGCTGTCCGCGTGCGAGTCGCTGCCTCCGCATTGCCCCGCCGCACCTCGTCCTCTCGCGCCTCCGCGCATTCCCGACAGAGCCTGTCGCCCGCTGCAGGGTTCCCGGAGAACGCCGACTTCGGTAGTCTTCTCTTGCACGCGCCGCTGCACTGATACGCCTGGCAACTGCGCGCTGTGAACCCGAGTTCCTTGCAGCCTCCGCACACCACCTTGGCCCCCGCGCCTTTCGATGATCTTCCAACCCCACGCGCGCAGACACGTCGATCGTGCCGTGGCTCCAGAATACGTCCACCGTGGGGCCCAGTGGGAACATTCGCATGCAAGTATGCCCCATGCCGGCACACCCTTTGCACGCGCCGTGGCCTCGCACATGGCCAAGTTGACCCATCATGACTCCTGGGCAGTCCCCCCAAAAAACTCCCGACCGCTACCGAAACGGCGCGAAGACATTCCCGAGCCCAACCTGGCTCCATTATGCCTCTCAGATGGCCCCAGATGAGACCACGACCGCCCGCGGCGTCGCCGTCCGCTCGGACCCCCCCGCGGAACTGCCCGAGACCCTCTGGCGGTGGCGGCGAACAGACGCCAAACAAATATCACTCGCCTTTTCACCCCTTCGCAGCTTCTACTACCCCCAGATTGGCATAAACAAGGGGTCGGCGGTGTGGCGTAAGCCTAAGAATCACACATACCACCATACTAACCACCGTCACCAAGATCGCCAGCATCAGCATCATCATCACCATCATCATCACCATCATCCTCACGGGGTCGAAGATGAGAGCCCATATCGCGCCATTGAGGGGGCATCCTTGGGCAACTCCTGAGTCAGCACGCAGCTGAAGGCGAAGGGCGACGTCGAACGACTGGAAGGAGAGCGGGATGGCGTAGAAGGTCTGGATCAGCTCTCACAGGTCGCCGCTGATGCCCCAGCGCTCAAAGACGGCCCACATAAAGTAGCGGTTGAACCACGGGAAAGCTGCCGCGTAGCCCATGGAGGCAGAGACGGACACGTGGACGTAGGCGTCAACAGCGGTGCTCAACTTTCTGGCTTCAACGCCGACCGGGGCGACGTTGTGCAGGAACTGACGGCGCGTGACGAAACCCATCTATTCGGCGGCTGCGTTGACGGCGATCTTGGAGATGGTCAGGCTCACAACGGAAACGCAGCTTGACGTCGCTGATGCCCGCGTTCTTGAAGGCGCGGTCGAGGGCGTTGAAGACGCCCAGCCTTGAGGAACGTGTGCTTGAAAGGGTCTTCAGCAACGCGATGCAACAACTGGCGCCATTGATGATGCATCGCCTCTCCTTGCTTCGGGGGCAGCTCGCGGCCGTGGATGTCCAACGCATTCATGTCGCACATGCGGCGTCCAGAAAACGGGGCAATGCGGATAGCCCAGGAGCGGCCACTGCGAAAGCCCGCGCTAGTCGCGCTTCGGGCGGGCGGCCCGCATCGACCCGGTCGAAGGGGTCGAGAAAGCCGCGGCCGCTTGCCGAGGTAGGTTTCGCGAGGACGGCGCGGAAAGGCCATGTGCTTACGCTGCGTGGAGCGCGTGGGGATGTCCTGTCGATGGTCGAGCCGTGCATTTCCAGCGGCGCTATCGGATCCCCTGGCGATGTGGAAGACGGAATTGGCGGCGTTCCGCATGAAGCCGCGAAAAAAAAAAGAGATTATGCGGTGCACCTGCGGGTTCCAGAGGGCGACGTCCATATCGGGCACGGGGGGAGCGTTTGTGCCACGAGGTCAAACGAAGGCAGAAGACACTGCGGATGTTATGTTGCTGTTGGTTGTTGGTGCCATGTCGTGCTGCGACAACTGTCCACCAGATGGCAGTCGGCTCATCAGCGATACTCACTGCCCACATGCAGCTGGGCCAAGCCTCGTTTTGGTAAGCGAGGTGGCCCCATCTCCTGTTCAGGCGGAGGGTCACGCGGTCGAGGCGCTGGTTGATGAAATTACCCAAGGGCTCGAGCTGGACTTCTCGGCGCACTGGTCGCGGGCTCTTATCGGTCTAAACATATAGCGAAGTACTGGCAGCACCACCGACTAAGATAGAGACGCTACGCCAAACCATTTTGAGATGCAGTGTTATGTGAAGGCGCCGTGGGCACGGTTCTGCAACCGCTGTGTCACCAACGAAGGTGACGCTGTGCCTCTTGCTGATGCCCGAGGTGTTGGACGATGTGTGGTCGCTTATGACGTGGGCCTCTTTGAACGACGGCTCCAGCGCATGTTGGAGATCGTCGGTGCTGAAGGGGGTGCATGGGTGCAGCTCTGTCCGCACCAGAAAATGCATGGGTCAGCAGCTCTGTCGGGTGTCCCAGCGTTGGCCAAATCGATGCTGGGGCTGCGGATCTCGGCGTCGCCCACCATTCTCTGGTTGACTGATTCTCGTAGTTCTCGGATGGCCACTTCTGTGGCGGATGTCCTGCAGGTCTGTCTCGGATCGTTCATGCTTGGTGTTGAAATCGGCGGCGATGGATGTGATGGAGGCGAGGAACTGGGAGCGGGCGGACTCCGCGATAAACTTGGCGACGGTTTCGACATTTGCGGCGGCGATCCTGACGTGCGCGGCGGACGTTCATTTGAGTAGCTGCCGGAGGTGAGCTGTAGGTTCTTGAGTTTGCATCCAAGAAGCAGCATCGATCGACGGGTCAAGATGCAGGCCGTCTTTACCAGGGGAGGCACGTTGCCTGTCGTCATCGTCTGGCATGGCGAAGGCTCACATACTGTAGCCGCGCGACTGAACGCACCGCCGAATATGGAGGCAACTGCACACAAACGTATGAGGGCAAAATCTGGACGAGGGCGCCCGCAAACCCGTGATTGTGGCGGGAAGATGCCCGAGACTGGCCGCGTCCCAGCGGTGTCCATGTGACACCGCTGGGGTTAAATCGTCTTGACCCAAAAATTGCGACGGGGGAGGAGGGAGGAGGGGGAGGTGGAGGAGAGGAGGGAAACAGACGCGGGGACAGGGTCTTCAAAACGGGGGCCCAACACCACAAGATGATTGGGAACAACGTGTTGCGTCTTCTCGCCCGTTCGCTTCCCATGGACCTCTAAAACCCCAAGATGGCCCCAAGAGGGCCCCAAGAGTGCACAAGAGCGCCGCAAGAGCCTCTCAACCGGCCCCAATATACCAGCTTTCGGCCTTCGAGCGGGGGGGGCCCAAATTTCCGGCCGATGGAGCCCAAGATGGCCCCAAGAGTCCCCCCAGGGCCCCCAGTGGAGCACCACGAGAGCCCCAGAGGATCCCAAAACGGCGCCAAGAGAGCCCCAACAGCCTCCTAAATGGCCACGAGATGGCTCCCGAAGGCTCCAACTTCACAAAAGTTGGCATCCCTGCTACATGCATACACACACCCTCCTCCAGGCAACTCTCATTGGCGTCGTTTCTGAATGGGATGGTGGGGATACTTTTTTCGTCGCAGCCGCAGGCGAAGGCGCCAGCAGCGTCACAAGTCAGCTCGGGCTACGAGCAAACTTAAGTAACCTAGCGCGCGCACTAGCAACTGCAAAACTACCGCCGAGGGACGCTGAGCAGCGCTGGGGGCATAAACCAGGGCTGCACGAGCAGAGGCTGATAGCCTAGCGCGCGCGCAGGCATCAGCAGAACCTACCGCCGGGGGATGCTGCTGCGCCGAGGGCGGAGACTGCAACCGCCGAAGGAAGCGAAGCAGCGCCGAGGGCGGAGGCTGCAAGAGCTGCTGGGGCCGCCAGGAAGCTGTACAGGCGTGCGGGCACCCCAGGGGCGAGACCACCAGGATGAGTGAATTCGACCTTGTCGCATCCACGCTACTTTTTCGGTCGCGTCCGCTAGCGAAGGCGCTAGCGGAGTCAGAAGCGCTCCGGGACACGGGAGCGGCCTAATTAGCTACTGCACGCGCCGCAGGCCGGCCGGCCCACTCACCAAGCAGCGGCAGGCTGCGCGGGGGAGATGGCGAGCTGAGGGCGTCCAGGGAAGCTCGGGCATTTGCAGCCCAGCAAAATGCTGGAAAATTAAGGTTGCGCCGTGAGGCAAGACCCACTCGAAGCACGAGGACGAGTGCGGCGATGACAGCGTGTCCAACATGCCCGATGAGCGTCCGGGGGTAGTAAGCGATGGGCGAGTCGCCAGTGGGGCGCCAAGCCCAGGTCGCGCCAACGACGTGTGCGAGCCAGGTGAGCTGCGCTGCCGAGGAACGTCGCAAACCAGCCTGGAAGGTGGAAGGGCCCGGGGGAGCGGCCGCGGCTGCGAAGGCTGAACCACTCGAAAGCCGCATCCAGGCTACGCGAAGCGTCAAGAATTAGACGAACCCTGGCTGACAACAAATCTTTAGCATCTTTAGCCAGCGACGCAACGTAACGACCACCATTGAGCCCCCTGTGCTGCCACATCATGAGAAGTGCGGCAACTAACATGGTGCTGACCTGCTGATCTAGCCTGGAAATAGCCGCCTGCCTGCTGCTCTCCACGCCTGCTGCCACTTAGAATCCTTCACTTGACGGCTCCCTGCTCAACGCCAGGCGGGGAGAAGCGGACGCCCGCCTTCAACATCTTATCGAGCAACATCGTGTCTCCGCGAATCTGCGTCCGCCTTGCGGTTTGTCAGACATATCCCATAACAAGGAACGCAAGGCAGATCCACATTCAACTGATGAACAATTCTCCAACCCTCAAATAACAGATTCGTGCGAGAGAAGACGCTGAGTACTTCGAAACCGGCCACCGTGCTGTACTTTCGCACTGGGCATGCGGCATAGTAGAGTGTCCTCGAGTCCCTCCGAGTTCTCTGCGTTGAATAGTGTGCACACACTTTACGGGGCCCAGGCCTTGGATCCTGGGCGCTCATGGCCACCCACGGGCGCTCCTGAGAATCCCCGCGTGACCGTCTGACCTTTCCAGAAGCCTCAGAAGCGTGACTTGGAACTGGAATGTGCCTCCGGGCCTGCCCTGAAGCTTTCCTGGTAGCCTTCTGGGCCGCCTGGGAGGCCCCGGGGGCCGGCCCAAGGAGGCCAACAATGTTTCAAAGTACATGGCTTCCGCACTTCAGAAGAACTTTTTGGGGCAATACCAGATGATTCCCGAGTGTCTTCTGCCCGTTCCGCCAGCCACCTAAAAGTGTCCAGAAAGAAACGCAAACGAGACTCTTCAACGGCTGCCCTTCCGCTTGAGATGGCTTCAAGCCGCCACCATGATGGCTGGCTGGATGGCTCCAGATGCTTCCAAGACGGGGGCCTCAAAGAAGGCTGAAGATGGCCACAAGTCGGCGCGAGAGGCATCCAAGACGGCCCAAGAGGGCTCCGAAAGGAACCCTAGCAGGTGCTCAAGAGACAAACACGATGATTCCCTTTACGACCACCCTTCAGGTGATAAGGAGGTCGTGGGGGTGGGCGGGGGAAGGCAGCTGATGGCAACTGCGACGATTTTCATGTTGACGATGCGGGTGATGCGCTCACGAGTCGGCGACGATGCGTGGTTAGAGAGAGCGTGATCCACCGCCGCTTTACTGTGGAAAATTCCTCCCCCTCTTTCTCCGGAACCTGGGGGTCCCCCACCCTCCGAAAATCCTCGCCCCCCTGCTCGACCCCCCCCCCGTCCTCCCTTTCCCTGGCAAAATCCCTCCCCACCCCTATCCCCCCCCCCTCTAGAAAACCGAGGGGGGGCCACTACCGGTTCGACCCCCCACCCCTCCCACAAAACCGGGGGGGGTCACTACGGGTTCGAACCCCACTCCCCCCCCAACTCGCCGCCGGCAAACGACACCCGGGGTAACCACCACCGCCCTCACCGCAGTTCCCACCACAACCGTCCCAACCACTGTCCCATTGTCCCCACTGTTCCCACCACTGTCACCACTGTCCCCACCAGTGCCCCCACCTCTGTCGCACTGTCCCCACTGTCACCACCACTGTCCCCACCACTGTCCCACTCTCCCCACTGTCCCGATTGTCCCCACAACTGTCCCACTGTCCCCACTGTCCCCACCACTATCCCACTGACCCCTGTCCCCACCGTTGTCCCACTGAGCTGTCCCACTGTTCCCACCCTGTCCCATTGTCCCCACCGTCCCCACCACTGTCCCCACTGTACCGCTGTCCCATTGTCCCACCACCGTCCTCACCACTGTCCCCACCACCACCGTCCCCACCACAACCGTCCCCACCCCTGTCCCACTGTCCCCACCGTCCCCACCATTGTCCCACTGTCCCCACACCGCTGTCCACACCACCACCGTTTCCACCACTGTCCCACTGTCCCCACCACTGTCCCACTGTCCCCACCATTGTCCCCACTGTCCTCACCAGTGCCCCCACCAGTGTCTCACTGTCCCCACTGTCCCCACCACTGTCCCCACCACTGTCCCACTCTCCCCACTGTCCCGATTGTCCCCACAACTGTCCCACTGTCCCCACTGTCCCCACCACTATCCCACTGACCCCTGTCCCCACCGTTGTCCCACTGAGCTGTCCCACTGTTCCCACCCTGCCCCATTGTCCCCACCGTCCCCACCACTGTCCCCACTGTACCGCTGTCCCATTGTCCCACCACCGTCCTCACCACTGTCCCCACCACCACCGTCCCCACCAACCGTCCCCACCCCTGTCCCACTGTCCCCCACCGTCCCCACCATTGTCCCACTGTCCCCACACCGCTGTCCACACCACCACCGTTTCCACCACTGTCCCACTGTCCCCACCACTGTCCCACTGTCCCCCACCATTGTCCCCACTGTCCTCACCAGTGCCCCCACCAGTGTCTCACTGTCCCCACTGTCCCCACCACTGTCCCCACCATGGTCCCACTCTCCCCACTGCCCCCGCTGTCCCCACTACTGTCCAACTGTCCCCACTGTCCCCACCACTGTCCCACTGACCCCACTGTCCCCACCGTTGTCCCACTGTGCTGTCCCACTGTCCTTCCTGTCCCCACCACTGTCCTTCTGCCCCCGCCACTCTCCACACTGTACCACTGTCCCATTGTCCCACCACCGTCCTCACCACTGCCCTCACCACCACCGTCCGCACCACCACCGTCTCCACCCCTGTCCCACTGTCCCCACCGTCCCCGCCACTGTCCCACTGTCTCCACCAGTGTCCCCACTGTCCCCACCAGTGCCCCCACCAGTGCCTCACTGTCCCCACTGTCCCCACAACTGTCCCCACCAAGGTCCCACTCTCCACACTGTCCCAACCGTCCCCACCACTGTCCCACTGTCCCCACCACTGTCCCATTGCCCCCACTGTCCCTACCGCTGTCCCACTGTGCTGTCCCACTGTCCCCACTGTCCCCACCACTGTCCCACTGTCCCCACCGTCCCCACCACTCTCCCCACTGTAATTACTGTCCCCCTCACCGCTGTCCCCAACACCACCGTCCCCACTACTGTCCCACTGCCCCCACTGTCCCCACCACTGTCTCACTGTCCCCACACCACTGTCCCCACTTTTACCGTCCCCACCACTGTCCCATTGTCCCCACCACTGTCCCACTGTCCCGAGGAGCGGGGATCGTTTGCCGGCGGCGAGGAGGGCGGGGGTGGGGGGGGTCGAACCGGTAGTGATCACCCCCTTTCATGATGGACTGGGGGGAGAGGGGGGGGCTTCGAACCGGTAGTGACCCCCCCCCCCTGGTTTTCGAGGGGGGGAAGGACGGGTTGAAACCTCCAGTTTCCCCCCCCCCCTGTTTCTGCCAGCAGCGGCAGATCACGCTCTTTCCGTGATTTCGACGCTGGTGAGATCACTGCGGCACTACTGGGGCAGCTTCTGAACACAATCGGGACACCAGCTAAACACCATCGGACGGATCACCTGATGACACTGATAAGGGAAATCAAGGACACCATCGTGACCCACCATCTCTTTCCTAGTCTCGCTATCCATGGGTCTCACTATCCACCCCGCAATCGAGCCCACCATCTGCGTAGCGATCTCGCAATGGATCCCACTATCTATCTATCAGTGTCACTATCAATCGGTGATTGCGTCACCACCGCCATCTTGGGCAAATAAATACCACCATCGCCACCACCTCCATCGCCGACCCCACTATCGATCTATCGACACGAGACACCGCGAGACACTACGGAACATTATACAAGGCCACAAGGCACCACGCGACACCATGGGACACCACGGACAAAAACACTGTCGATTCCACTATCGATTCCACTATCGATCTCCCTCCTTCTATCGATCCCACTGTCTATGGGCCTGATCGTCGATTTCACTTTCGATGTCAACATCCATCTCACTATCGATCTCACGATCGACTCTGCGAAATCGATCTCACTATCGCACCACGGGACACCGCACCACGGGACACCACCGGACACCACGAGACACCGACGGGACACCGACGGGACACCCCTGGGACACCGCCAGCCACCCAGGGGGGGGAGAGACATTGAGCCCAGTTTCGCCTTGTCAAGGGCGGGATCAGTCCTCTCGCCCGCCCACGCAGCTGCACCACGTCCGCACGCACGACGCGAAAACGGAACAAATTTCCCTGTGGGGGGGCTCTCCGCTTCCCTGCGATTTCATCCCCAACCACCGATTCAGGTGTGTCAGAAAATCTGCCGTTTCTCGGCTTCTTGGTCCCCAGAACGCCCATAACGGCCCGAGAAGTCCCCATGGCTGGGGCAAGACGGAGAAGAGCCCAGGAGCCCAAAGACGACCCCAAGACGACCCACGAGCAAAAATCATAAGCTTACTGCACAATTGTGCAGAACAGTGCCGCTGAGCCCAAACAATAAGGCCGGAGGTTGGGGGGGAGATCGCAGTGGAACGGAGGGCCCCCACTGGGAAATCGGTTTCAATTTCGTGTTCGTGTCGTGCGTGCGGGCGAGGCAAAGCTGCGTGGGCGCGCGACGCGAGAGGAATGATGCCGCCGTGGCTAAGGGGCTGTGGAGCCGGTTGTCGGTCCCCCCTCCCCGGCGCGCGGTGGCCTGGGGTGTGTCCAGCCGGTGGCCCGTCGGTGTCCCGTCGGTATCCCATCGATGCCCAACTCGGTGTCCCATTTGTGCCCCGTCGATGTCCCGTCGGTGTCCTGTCGGTGTCCCGTCGGTGTCCGTTCGGTGCCCCATCGGTGCCCCATCGGTGTCCCGTCGGTGTCCCGTCGGTGTCTCGTCGGTGTTCCGATTGGTGTCCTGATTGATGTCCCGATTGGTGTCTGGATTGGTGTCCCGATTGGTGTCCCGATTGGTGTCCCGATTGGTGTCCCGAATGGTGTCCTGATGGTGTTCTAGTGGTGTTTCGATGGTGTCTCGATGGTGTCCTGATGGGTCCCGATAGGTGCCCGTGGTGGTGTTCCGATGGTGTCCTGATGGTGTCCCTGTGATTTGTGCATGGTGCCCTTGTGTTGTGCCGATAGCGCCCCAGTGGTGTCCCGATCGTACGAAGGTGGTTTCCCAAATCGCTGATGAGATCGATAATGAGACGCCAAATGTCCTGTCGGTGTCCCGTCGGTGTCGCGTCGGTGTCCCGTCGATGTCGCGTCGGTGTAGAGGGACAGGCCCGACTCAAGGCAAGTCACGGAAGCTCTTGGCCGTCCCCATGGCGCCCAACAGCGGGCCAAAAGGCAGCTCCCTCGCACGAT